GTGTGACAGGACAGGAGGGGAGGACATGGAGCCCAGGTGTGACAGGGCAGCAGGGGAGGACTTGGAGCCCAAGTGTGACAGGACAGGAGAAGAGGACATGGAGCCCAGGTGTGACAGGACAGGAGGGGAGGACATGGAGCCCTGGTGTGACAGGACGGGAGGGGAGGGACATGGATGCACCGCAGTCTGGTGTGTTTCCTCGTGGAAGCCCCATAGGAGGCCAAGGCTGGACCCCAGAGTCATCAGGAAACAGGACTCAGACTAGTTAACAGTTGCCACCATTTTTCATCACATCCCAATTCTGTGCTGTGTGTGCTAGCTGTTATTATTATTAATCTAAAGCAGTGAACGAGTAATCACCAGATCCCCACTCTTCCGGCTGGGTCTTAGGAGGAAATGAGCTAATGAGAGAAACCTCCGCCTCTGCTGTGACACCCTGGAGAGAGGGACTGTGGGGAGGAGGTGGGGGCAGGGGAGCACCTGGAGGTTGGCTACAGCAGGCTGGGGCCTGGTCAGGGAATGGGGCACAGCGGCCACGCAGTCTCCCTGCAACAAAAACCACCCCACCAGGAGCCACCATCAGACAAGTTATGACTTGTCCACAGGGTCATGGATGCCCCCTCGGTCTCTAGTCACTGCTCTCACGAGGGTCACGTGTCTCCTACCGCTGAGAAATGAGGGATACAGGAGGCCAGTGCCCCACTTTCCGCTTCTAGTTCTTGTCCACACCATCCATCAGGAAAACCCCCTTCCCTAAGAGTGGTCAGTGTGAGGCCTGCTCACCATCCTCACACCGTCAGGTTGGGGCCTGGACAGCATTCCCAATCAACCGTCTCCCTGCCCGGACTTCTCTGCTCGTCCAGAGGCATTTTCGAAGATAACTGTTATTACCTGTACTTTGCAAATGAGGAGACTGAAAAGTAACCTTCCCAAGATCACACAGGCAATGAGTGGCAGAGCCACGTGGACCCAGGTCTGTTGGCCCCAGAGTTCTGTGAGGACCTCCAGTGAGCTGTCACAGTCCTGGTGAGTCCCACTTGCCATCTGTGCAGGCAAAAGTGAACCCTAGGAACAAGGCTGGCCTCTGGCAAAACTCGGCTCTCTAAGAAAGTTGTCCCTGGGTCCCCTTCTGCCCTCTGCACCCCTGCCCCCTCTCAGGGTCCCATCGTCCTCCCACTTTCTTCTTCCTTCCTGATCCTGTATTCCCGGGAGCCTTCTGATGCCAAAGTCATCAAACAGAGACCTTTAAAACGATTCTCCCTCAAGTGTTGATAACTTAAAAATGAGAGCACTTATTGTATATGTTTGGAAGAGGCCTGAAGGGAGAAGATGATGAGTCTCTGATGAATTTCCAGCAGTTCTGCAGGGTGTGGAGATGAGATGTGGGCTCAGGGTAATGGATAGCTCTTCACATACATCAGACATGGGCAGCTGCCTACTCATAAAATCAGCAAAAAGGAAATGAACGTGATGTTTCACAATACTTTAAAATAGCCTCCGTGAAGGTGGTAGAAAGGAGAGGACGTTGTTCTGACTTTAGAGATAAGAAACCAAAACCCAGAGAAGCCGCTTTGAGCCGAGATCAAGCCCAAATGGGCAGAACTGCACACACTCTGATTTCGTATGCTTCCTTCCAGGGGCGGGTTCCCGCTTCCTTTCTCCTGATGCTCTGAACCCACGCTGCCCCGCCTGTCAGGCCCCCGCTATGTTATCTTTTGAAGGTAGCAGGGTGCTTGGGAAGCAGAGGCAGTAGAGGGAAATATGTTTCTGTTTTTAAAGAATAATTCATGCAGGACCCTTCTCTCAAATAGCTCAAGGCACTTCCATGAGAAGCTCTGCAGGGAGAGAACAGAGAGACCAGATCCCTCGAAACATCAATAATGCACAGCGGCCTCTTTTAACTAGGGGCTTGTCAATTTGACTTCCCCTGGATCAGTGGGCGATCAAAAGTCACCAGCAGCTAACAGACCTTATTTGAGCGAAGGATGCACTTTCAGCCCAGTCCCTGCCAACGGGCGGCACATCAAACAGCCCCCTCGATGCTCTGGTATTCTCGCCTGCCCTTTGATCAGCTGTAGCTGTGACTGCACAGCCTCCCGCAGGGGCCTGGTGGGACCTGCACTGCTGCAGGCAAATCATTCGTGCTTCGCTCAGAGGGACCAACCTTGGGAAGCACAGCCCTAACTACATTTGGCAAGATAAGTTTCCAAACATTAAGACCAGCTGCATGTCCATTCTATGTGCCCATTCACTCGGCCAGTGTGTACTAAGCACCAAGCACCAAGGTATGCCCGTGCACTCCTCCCTTCTTCCCTCCCAACCAAATCCTCCCCTTCCTTCACATCCACTCGAGTGTCTGTTCCCAGTCAAAGCCCCTCCAGACAGATCACCCCACAGTGAACTTTCCTCTCCTTTCCGCCCTCCCACTCGTAGAATCGGCCTCAGTCGGACCCTGCCTTGTTCTCTGGTTGTGTTCCCACTACCAGCCCGGTATCCCAATGACCAGAACCATGTGGCATCTAATGCTTTTTTCACATTCCACTCTGTCCAGCTCAGCGCTGGGCTCCATAAATACTTGCTGAGCAACAGGTTGAGAACGGAAAGAAAAATGTATTTCTTGCACAGAGGAGAAGGAGGCGATGCTTACTGGTAGCTTTGAGGGAGAGGGCAAGGGCTCCCTTCCCTTTTCTGAATTACAACTGAACACTAGTGGACCTGAGCTCCGCCAGAGCGAGGTTTGTGCCTGTTCTACTTCCGCCGTGTGCCCAGGGCCTGGCCTGGTGCCGACAGAGGGTGAGTGGAAAGAATGACTCAGCCATCAGCCCACTCCCAGAGGCTTCCTAGCTCTATCTAGGAATGTAAAGAGTGGGGGTGAAATAGGGAGAAATGAAATAGGGGAAATAGCCCGTTGGCTTCCCCCAAATTCTTTCCTGAGTACATTTTCCATTTTTCTAATTCAAAGAAAACCAGTTGTACATGGAGATTTACTCTCCTGGGCCCATCCATCTTAAGGAGCAACCACCTCTGATGAAACTTTTGTAAAATAAATGAATAGATCCCCAAGGCATTAAAAAAATAGTAACTGCAAATATCATAAAATTAAACGTTCTCCTCGAGTCTTGCGTCGCATCACAACAGATCTAGTGCTGCAAGCAGCTCCAGGCACAGCAAGCCCCCATGAACGCTTGTTGATCTAGACCAGCCTGGCTCCAGGAAACAAAAAGGATTCAGGATGCTGGATACAGGTCCGTGCCCCAGCCTCAGCGTGTCTTAAATAGAATCAGTACTTTTCTGCTCAGATGAAGAAACGCACTGAGTGTTCCATTCTTTCAGGGAACATCTCTTGAGACTTATTTTTTAGTAATTAGCAAGGCAAGTGATCGAGGATCCCCACCTCCCACTCCATTACCAACAAAGGGGGTTGTTCTCTAAAAGCGTGAAGTGCCGCTCTGATTCTCTGCCAAATAAATGTTAAATAATCAGCCATCAGCTCCATAGAGACCAAGAAAGAGAAGCAGTAAATGCCAGCTTTCCCAGAAGGACCATGTCAGGGAGGAAAGGCCTGCGAAGGTTGAAAAGTGCAGTGGTCAGGCAGGTCCACCCGGAGGGACCAGTGCAGAGCCGCCCTGCTCCCGCCCGGAGCCACAGAGGAGGAGAGGAAAGGAGACTGGTGTCTGTCTCCACTCGACATTCCAAAGTGAAGTCTCCCGTGTCTGGATGTGATTCCTGGATATTTGTAATCAGCAAAAATTAAACAAAACAAAACAAAGGAATAGGAAGAAGAAAGGTAAACAAAAACGCCAACTTTCCTACACCAACAGAACAAAACAAGATACCCCAGGCTCCTGGGTCCAGGGTTTCCCACCAACACCTGGCCTCAAAGTAAAGGAGACTGGCAGTATACTGCAGTCGATGCAGGTGGGTTAAGGTTACTCTTGAAGCCAAGGGTTCATGGGAGGAAGACAATTAAACACCCGCTGACACAGACATTTCAGACTTAGAGGAGGTAGGACCTTGGCACAGGCAGTGCCAGGTTATGGTTTCCATGTACTACAGTCTTAGGCATGACGGAGGGCTGTTCCTTAAATACATGCCAGCGAGTTCACACTGGCCTGGCCTTCCCATCCTTTTCCATCTGCACAGATAGGCTTCGACCTAACAGGAAGCCATCCAAGACTAGGACATGGATTAGTATTGTCACGATTACTAGTATTTTAAACTCCGCCCTGCCTGTTAGTGAGATGGTCAAGGCAGACAGAGATTGGTGGGAACTCGAGCCGTCTGCCTGGCGTCTCTGTATCAGGAGCTCCAAAGGGACACCGGCCTGCGCGTGCGGTGGGGCCGAGGCCCCGGGGCTGGCGGAGCTCGGGGGTCCCCGGAGCCACAGTGCCCGCCCCGCAGCCCGGACGCCGCGCACTCACCGCAGGTTCCGCGCCACCATGTCCCCCCAGGCGGCCACGCAGCCCCGCTCGTCCATCCTGCCGCCGGGTCTGCGCCGAGTCCGCGCCCCGGAGCCGGAGCCGGGCGCCCAGGGCCGCGCCCGCCGCCTCCGCCTCCTCCGCAGCGGGCCAGGATGGGGGGCACGTGGGGCGATCCGCGGGGCGGGGCCGGGATGGAGGGCGAGGCGGGGATCGGGGCGGGGTGGGCGGCAGGTGCGGCCCGGGGGTCTCGGCCGGGGATCCGGCTGCCCTGGGCCCCCACCCCCGATTTATAACAGGAAATCGGTTTTCCGCGCCGACGCAGCTCTGTACAGTTGTCCCCATCTGCGCGCGCCCTGCCCGAAGTGTATTTCTTACACCGCAGCAATGAAACAAAGGTTGGGTATCACAGACCCTCCTGAAGAATATACGCTTCCCTCAACTTTGACTGTTTTTTTCTTTCCCCCTTTTGTTTTTCTCTTTTCTGAAGCTTACCCATCCTCAGTCCCCCTCCTCTCTCTCACACACACCTGTCATCATTACTGTACAAAGGATTTCTTTGGCTCCCTTGGGTGAGTAATGGTTTCTCTGTCCAAGGGTTATGAACTACACAATTCCTTCTTGTGTCCAAAATTAGCACCTTTTTGGTGTTTCGTTTATTTAGCAGCGTGTAACAGAACACACACACTCATTTGGCCCGGATTCAGGTTTGCTAGTAGTGCATTGTCACCTGGGAGCAGGAACTGTCCTCGACCTGCTCCAGGGAAGCCACACGGCAAAGCGTGGGAGCCAAGGAGGAAGAAAGCGGTGAGGTCCCCTCTGACTGCGGTTTGACGGCAGCATCGAGACTTCATCCTGGCAGCAAGTGTCACCTCCCCAAAGGGAACGGGCTCTTCCGTGGAGCCCGTGCTGCCTGGGCTTTGCCAGCTGGGCAGAGGGCACCGCAGGGGTCTGCCAACCCACAGGAAGTACATAGTGACCCCTCCGCTGTGGCTGGTGGGCCAGTCTGGAGGAGGCACCCACACCTTCAAGAAAGGGCAGCTCTCTTCCAGGATAAGGCCATTTCATGTAACTAGTCAGGCAAGACGAGTTTTGTTCACTGCATCCTGTAGTTGCTCTGAGAATGTCAGTTTTCTGATTCACATCAAGATAGAAGAGGAACCAGATCCCGGAGGACGGATGGATCCGCGTGCCAGATGAGCCAGCTCAGGAGGGTTTTCACGGGGCTACACCCTGCGGAGCAGAGGTTAAGGCCCCACTCCAGCAGGTGTCAGATTTCACCCCGGAGCTGTTCATGAAGTGGGTCTGGAATCTCAGAGAACTTATTCAGGAAGCTCTGGATGAGCCCCTGGGCCACGCCAAGTGGAGGTGGAGGGATCAGAGATGGGGAGCAGAGCGGGGAGAAGGGAACAGCAGCTGCACTTGGTCCCAGGTTCTATTTCCATCTGTTTATTCAGGTCGAGAGGGTGGAGGCCCACATGTTGGTTTAGCAAACAAAATCACAAGCTCCAAGTCTAATCAAATGTTTGAAATGCTCAGCAAACTCTCTGACGTTGGAAATCACTATGGCCCTTTTTGTTTTTTAAGACTGTATAAATTAAAACTCTAGGAAAAAGCTTTTCCCAACATTATAGCCCCTTTTCAAATGGTGCATCCTGGAAGTCAGTGAGCAGAGTCTCCAATATGATTTGGCATAATCTCAAAAACAGGTCATTCGTTCATTCATTCAGCATCTATTTACAGAGCAGCTTTTAGGGGCCAGGTTCCACGTTGGGCACTATGAGGATACAAAGCAGACTCCTGCCTGGTAGAGAGATTTGTCTCAGGATAAATCATGAGAACATAGAATTAGGATTGAAGAGATCCCTAAGAGCAGAAATCAGGTCGGAGTTGCCAGAGCCTGGATGTGGGGAGAGAGATAAACTCAAAGGGACACAAGAGAGCATTTTAGCGTGAAGGAAATAGTGTGGTGGTGGTCTCATGACTGTAAACTTCCACCAAAATTCATAGAATTGGAAACCTTCAGGGTGAATTTGACTGAATGCAAATTATACCTTCAGACCAGAGATTCCAGACCAGGAAGAAGGAACTTTCCATCCACTCTGAAGAAATTGGCCGTGAAAACCCTGTGAATAGCAGGGGAGCATTGTCTGATAGAGCACTGGAAGGTGAGAGGACGGCGCAGAAAGACCGGGCAGGGTGCCCTCTGCTGTCCACAAGGTCACCAGGAGTCAGAATCCACTCGATGGCACTAACCGCAAAAAAATCATACCTTAACAAACCTGACTTTTGGAAAAGTGATCTAAGAAATGTACAGAAAAACTATATAAACAATTCGGTCCAATGTGATGTTATAGAAATGTCAAGACAAAGCCGTGGGCACAAGTACGTCAGAAACCAATAGTCAGATGTTATTTACACTTCTAGTAGAAAAAGAAATCTCGATTAGAGACAGGTTAATGTTACCATCTGGGAAAAGGATGGGGGAGAGGACCACCTGTCCCTCAGCTGCCACACAGCTGTGGAGGTAAACTGCTGGTCACAAGGTGTTTGAGCGACAACAAATCGCTGATTTTCTACTGTTTGGAGAAAACTTTATCTTGAAAAGAAATTCTTCATTCCCCTTGCATTTTCTTCTTTTTTCAAATAACAGCTTTATTGAGACATAATTCACATACCATAAAATTCACCCTTTCGAACAAAGTGTACAAGTCAGTGGTTTTAGTGTATTCACAGAGTCGTGCATCTACCTGCACTATTCAGTTTTAAAACATTTTCATAACCCGGAGAGGACACCCCATGCCCTTGCTGGATAGATCATATGGTAATCTTATATTTAATTTTTAAGGAACTGCTGAACCGTTCCCAGTAGCTGCCCGCTGTGCGTCTGCCCACATGCGCTGTGTGCACGGCCGCCTCGCGTTTGCCTGGCTCATCTTTTCCACCCTTTCTCAGCTTTCCATACACAAATAGGAATACTTTTTAAAGAACTGATGCTATTGAGATTGAAATGAAACATTGAAGGGAAGTTTGAGCCCCAGATGATGGGGGTGCGTGAGGTAACGAACTCACTTGGAACATTTATTTTTCTGTGTTGTTAAGGTTTTGTCTTTGCCTGCATCAGATCTAATTGAAGGTCTGATTCATTATAGTTACAAGAGTGGACACCAGGTTCTTCTCAGGTGTCTGGACTTGAGATCGTTAATATGGGCTTCCTTTTAGCAAAAGGGCTAATTCTTTGAGAAGAGAGAGTGATGCAGGAGTTGAAACTGGAGATACTTGGTGCCTCCTTTCTTCCAAAGACCTCTGCACGTTCCAAGACACGACCCACGGGCTCCCTTGTCCCATGGCAGGAGATGGGACCTGGTTTTTCCCTGTGTCTGTGGAAGGACTGAGCCAGGACTAAAGTCCGGGAGCTAACACTCCCTCCTGCCTCTCTGGACGCTCCTTTTCAAATTCCTCCCGCCGCGCCTTGAAAGTTACTCATTCTGCAGGCTTCCTTCCCAGCCCTGCTCCTCTTCTTATGTTATACCAGTGTTTCCACAACTGTGTTCAATTATTCCGGAAGCTTTGGGCTAAACACAGTAAGATATGTTCCTTTGGCCAGGCTCTCGTGTCTCAAAGTCGTTACTTGGCTAATGCTCTTTGAGGCTCTCCAAGAAGAAGGATAGATGCAGCTTTTCACTCCATCCCTCTCCTCTCCTCCCCCTCCACACCTGTCTCCCTTGCAGGATTCCTACAGCATCATCTCACATTGCTTCCCAAACCACAGACCTGGGATTCACCCTCGATTCTTCCACTTCCTTTAGGCCCAGAATTCCCTCTAGAGAGAATTAGGATTATTATTATTATTTTTGTCACTGAGGAAGATTGTCCCTGAGCTAACATCCATTGCCAATCTTCCTCCATTTTGTATGTGGCTCGCCACCACAGCATGGCTGCCGAGTGGTGTAGGTCCGCCCCCGGGATCTGAACTCGCAAACCTGGGCCGCCAAAGTGGAGCACACAGAACCCAACCACTAGGCCATGAGGCTGGCCCCAGGATTATTTCTTGATGTGACATTTATTTACTTAACCAATATGGACGGAGCTTGTTTTCTACCGTGTCTTGGGAAGCTTGCACTCTAGTCGTTAAGGACAGGAGTACACCTGTGAAAAGCTACATGACAACCTGAGGTGTGTCACCAGATGATAAATAAATACGTGTTCCAGACAACGTAATGCTACAGGCTCAGGAGAAACATCTTCGTGGGTGCAAGAGCTCAGGGAAGCACTGCTCTGTTGCCTGGAAACAGCTTTGGGGATGGGAGATCATCCTAAAGGAGCCACAGAATGTTAAAACTGTAAGATCTATAAGCAGTCGTTTGCCAATGCTCACATTTTATGTGGAGGAAACTGAGACCCAGAGAGACCAAATGATGGATGATTAGCTGCTTTCATTCACTATTTATTAAGTGCCCACTGCATGCAAGGCACAGCATGGACTACACTTACTCAAAGGAGCAAGCAAGGCAATTAGGAATTGTGCCCTAATTCACAAAGGGTACCTGGTATCTAGTCAGAAACTAAACCTGTGTCAGAGCATCCCCAGGGGCCAGGCTGTGATGGCAGGTGGGGAACCAACTGGTAGTTGTAAACTGAATTAGTAGTCCTTCCACTTATCTTGAAGAGAGAAGAATTAAAATAGTTAATCACAGGTTAGTTATTTCTGCTTCGTGAGGACTCAGGGTGGAGGAATTTACCACCACCTACAGTGTCCGGTCATTTCATCAGATCTCCAGGTAGGAGATTC